AGTCATGTAGCCTAATTTTCCTGGAGAATTGGACTAAACTCCCACCCACGTCACTGTTTCCACTGCCAGGGCAGAGCTGAGATGCACCCTGGTCTCTACTCCACCATCTGCCCTTTACCTTTCATTGCACAGAGCTGGGCTGCATTTATTAAGGGATGAGCCTTAATACTTGCAAGGAGTGAAATTCTTGAGGCAGAGGAACTAATATAACCAGTGCTCGCACTGCCTGTTTACCTTCTAATTGTCGCTGACTCCTGCCTTTTCACGTTCCTGGTGCTTGAAAAGGGAAGAACAAATCTAGGCAATGTAATTTAATACCCCCAACATACTGGCTTAATTGCAATCCCCATAAGCCAGCCACACAAAACTCTAAACAAATTCGATTAATTTATTTCAATTTGCACAAGTCTCTCTCTCAGACTGTAATTAATGGAGGGAAACAATTAAGGTAAACACAGCACAGCTGAGAGAGCTGTCCTTGCTAAAAGTCACATTTTATTTTAATAATGCTGTATTTATATAAGTTCCATGCTTTTAACAAGTTTCCCATTTCCTTAATGTTTAATCAGTCCTGTAAATATTTTGCCTGGGCTGAAACGGTTTTGTGAAATCAGCAGGGAGGACACGGGGCAGGGAGAGACCGAATCACTGATGGGCACTTGGGGGGACATGGGCTGTGGGCAGAGAGTCAGGCAAGGGGCAGTATGTATATATACAGGGCCCTATATAATCTCCCTCTCTCCACAAGCTGGCACACTCCAACCAAGTATTGGCGATGGCTTGCTTTCCTGAGGTTTGCTTTGGCTGGGTGGTGGTGCTCTACACCAAGGGAGACCTCACCAAGCGGGCAGTGCCCGTTGCTCCCACCTGCTGCAGCAAATGTCTCCCCACTCCCAGCTGCCAGCTCCGACTCTTAGAATCCTACACATCTGGACTGAAGCTAATTGGTGTTCATTAAGACTTTGATAGCCCCAAGAGAGCCGCTAGCATCAGTGATGGCTCTCTGCATTACTGTGCCATCCAGGGACACGGTCCCTCCTGGACCCTGCCATGGCAGGGGCTGGACAGAGCCATGCTGGGGGTAATCCTGTGCCTCCCGCCCTGTGCTCAGCCTCAGGTGTGTCACTGTCATGGGACTGGGGACAGTCACACACTGGGGGGTTAATTCCTCCGCCAGGTGTTCCCCGGGGGGCCGAAAAGTGGCTCTGAATCAGGCAATGTGGGAGGGCTGGGAGGCAGCCCCATGCAGCTGCCCCAAATCCAGGGCTTCCCGGCTGCAGATTGGTGGCATCGCTGGTGTGATGGGCCCAAATGGGTTTTATAAAGCCTGTAGGAAAAGCCTGTCCCAGTAAATCTGTTTACCAAAGGTGTAAATGACCCATGATCATGCTGAGACAGCCCTACCTGATGTATCTTCCCAGGTTTCCTGCTCCTGCTTGGATCAGGGCTTGGCTTTGCACGGCTCCTGTGTGCAGCCCAGCCTGGGGACATGCCAGTGAGGCACCTCCAAAATGCCACCGAATGGGAGGCAAAGACATTTGTCCAGCTGCCACTTGATCTCTGCTCCAGGTCGCCTTCAGCACATGTCCGCAATCACCCTGCTCTGCTCCATACAGGACAGAGACTGATTTCATGCCAGGAACAGCCTGGCCGCAGGAAGCGATGGGGGCGTTTCTTCAGGGGGACAGGCAGGTCCCACTCCAACTGCTCCGGCAGTGGCTTTGAGTTGCTTTTTTCATCACTTGTCATTTTCCGTCTTTGAGTACATCCCGTGGGTGAGTTTTCTTGAAAGAGATGGCACATCTGTCTTCATTGCTTTCCTTTATTTTCTTTGAAAAAGCAGGAACAATACCATCCGTCTTTCATAGCACCAACTGGTATTGCTAAAGGATGGAAAAAAATTACGTGCTGGTTTTCTCCCTTTTCTTCTCACCTTCATTAACCTTAACATGCACTGTGCTCCTCTTCCAGCGCTGGCGTGGCCTTGCTAGAGAAGAAGATCTTAGCTCGAACAACCTCATGTTGATTTTCCACTATCATCTCAAGTACCAGCTGGACTAATTAGTTTGAAAATGCACCATTTGTTAAAGAAAGACAAGGTGCAGCCTGACACCTGCTGTATCAATTACTTGCCTCTTTAGCTAATTGCTTGCCCACACTATTAGGTGAGGGAAATTGTCACCGTTGTCTCAAGTTGACGGTGCCAAATGGGAAGGGAGGAAATGGTGCTGTTGGAGAGCAGGTCGAGGGAGCTGGAGGATGCATTTTGGGATGGTGGGAGCAGGTCCAGTGCTAGTTCTGGTTTACACCTCCCCAGGGATGTAAAATCCAGTTGCAGGATACATCCCAGCATCCACAGAGGTGGGGGCTAGATGCGGTGGGAAGAGGGACCCATTTGGAGAGTGGTCCCCTGACTACCAGAGACCTTGTTGGGTGACGCTGGGCAACACATTGCCTCTTCCCACCCCTGGTTCCTGCCTCTAAAATCCGGAGAAGGATACAGACATCCATTTGAAAAGCTTCGATGACAAGTGTTATATAAAGGCCAGAAATCATTACTAGTTATTGTTGGGGTGCACAGGGGAGGAGCGCATGTGGAGATGGAAAAATACAGGGAGGAAGCAAATCAGAGAGCAGAAAGCAAAGCACAGCAGTGCAGGCAGGATGGAGCTCCTGTGCTGTGGCATCAGGTGGCTTGTCTCCCCTCAGACCCCGAGGAGCCTATGCAGAGATGGACCCATCTCCCCACGGCTCTGGCTGCTGATTTGGGGGTGAAGCTGCCATGCATGCTACCACTGAGCCTGGGGCAGAGAGACGGGAGGTGCCCATAGCTGCCAGCCCCAGCCGTGCCAGGCAGGACCAGATCTGGCCTCTCCACAGGCTTGTGACAGAGGATGAGGTGAAGCAGGAGCCCTTGGAGCTGGGGAAGAAGCTGCTCCTGGCTGCCCCGGGTCCTCTGTGTCCCCACAGACACAGTCAGGCCATAGCAGCCTGGGTCCAAAAGCTGCCCAAAATGGACCTTGAAGAGTAGAGCATCTCAGGAGGCGATGGTTTGGTGGGAGCCAGTAATGAGCCCAACATCCAACTCACAGTCCCACCTGATGGTGGGGATGCTGGGGTTCCCTTGCCCAGGTAGACATTTGGGGCAAGGTTGGGAGAGTGGCAGCGTGGATGTGGCCATGTCCCTTGCAACTGCCCCCATTCAGATCCCAACTGCTCAGTGAAGCAACCCGTCATCCCAGTGGGGCTTTGAGATGCCCAGTCTGCTTTTGCAAGGGGTCATGGGACACCGTTATGTCCCAGCTGTGTGTTGGGACAAGAAGTTGATTCATCTCCCACCTTTGAGCTGAGGCCATGACCAGCAGGGTGGCCAGAGGAGGATGGGGAGGAGGACACCCCCCAACTGCCCCAGTCCCCTGCTCCAGTCCCAAGAGGGCAAACAAGACCTTGCTGGCCAGAGTGGAGAAAGGATCTCCCAGGACAGACCCTGTGCACGTGGGAAAGAGAAGGTGGCCTCAAGTGATGCACTGCACTGATTCCCAGCTTCACCTCTGTGCTGATGGAGAGCCCAGGGCAGCCCAGCCCCACTCGCTGTGCAGGGCCAGGGCTGAGAGCAGGGCTGCTTTTGAGGCTGGGGGTGAGAAAAGCATGGCCAAGGCTCTGGCAGCCGCTGATGCTGCACATCCCTTCTGCCGTGCCTTCCTCCTTGCCCGCACTCAGCCTCTTCCTGACATCTAGTGGGAGCAGGGCAACACGGCAAAGGGATCCGGTGCCAGCTCCAGACTCCCAGACACACAGACACGCACTAGCCGCCCGGCCGGAGCCACCAAAGGGGCTGGCATCAGCCACAGCACACAGCTGGGCTTCACCAGGGCACGGCTGTTTCTGTAGAGAATTGCTGGGGGTGAAATTCAAGGTGTAATTCCTCATGGAGCCAGTTATTAATGGCCTGGCAGAGACCCTGGTCTGAGGCATGGGACCTTTTTAGGGTTATCCACCATCTCAGATCACTTGAGCCCTCTCCTCCTCTTCTACAGTTGTTCCAGGTTTCCAGGCAGCGTGCAAAGCAGAGCTGGGCAGAGGAAGTTAATGGCTTTAAACTAAAGGGGGGTAGGTTTAGACTAGAAATAAGGAAGAAATTTTTTACGCTGAGGGTGGTGAAACACTGGCCCAGGTTGCCCAGAGAGGTGGTGGATGCCCCATCCCTGGAAACGTTCAAGGTCAGGTCGGACGGGGCTCTGAGCAACCTGCTCTAGTTGAAGATGTCCCTGCCCACAGCAGGGGGGTTGGACTAGATGACCTTTAGAGGTCCCTTCCAACCCAAACTATTCTATGTTTCTATAAGTTCCCTTCTTGCCCTTGGTTTTGGATGGCACATTTGGGAGGTAGAGGGAAGAGGTGAGGTGGGAGCAAGAAACAGGTGAGAGCTGTCCTGGCAGGACATCCCCATGCTCAGGGTTGAAGACCATCCCCTCTCCATCCAGGGCCACCCTCTCATTTTAGAGCCCGTGCATGTCTCCCTGGATTGTCACTCATCCCTAATGCCAGCTGCCAAAAGCAAACCTGCTCACAGCTCACAGCCCTCGGTTGCAAAGGTGGAACAGGGACAGATGCTCTTCACAGCGTTCAAGGGACAGACACCCTCCAGGGTCATCCTACACTGGTCAGCATCTCTACCAGACTGGTCTCCCGGTTCCCATCCTTCCCCAAAGCCTTTAGCTGCAATGACGGGCAGGAGCTAGTCCCTCCTGCCTTGTTTCACATGCTCACTTTCTGCGAGTAAAACCACCTTATTTTTTTCCCTTGTTGACATCTACCTTTGCTGAACTGTGTTCACTGTATCTATCTAACTTGCTGTCTGAAGGCCAGGGTGTCACCTCTCCACACGTCCCCAAATCTCCCTGGTGATGCCCAAGAACTTTCATCAATGAGTGGCTAAAAGTTAAACACCAGCAACAAAACAACAACAAAAAAAAAGGTGTTTATTTCAATAACCAGGAAGAAAATTTAATTCAAAGAGCAAAGATACTAATATAAACCCCGAAGGCGCTCCAAGCAAACCAGAGCGATTTGCACAAGTCCCTTCCCAAAGCAGCCAGGCAGATGTGTCTCTGGTCCCCAGCTCTCCCCCAGCATGAACATGGTGCAGACTCCCACTTCTCCCCTGCATCCCCCCCATTCCCCCCCCCTTGCTGGAGGGATCTGCAGCGGCCCAAGGAGCTCCCACACCTGGGGAACAGGCAACTCGGGGGATAGGTGAGGGGCCTGGGGGGGCATGTCACTGGGTGAGCTCACATTGACCCTGTGGAAAAGAAAGGCACTTCCCAAACTTCAGCAGCATCCTGCCACCTGCATGCACCTGCCCTGGGACTGTGAGGTGTCCCTCCATCACCTGCCCACGCCTACCCCAATCCGACATCCTGAGGATATAGCCCCTTGGGGGAGTCATGGTGCCCCAGAGACAGCAGCAAAGAGGGGGGAGGACATGGCTCAAAGGTAGAGTAGTAAATCCAGCTTTTGAGTTGTCCTCAGCCACCCTGCGCTCACTATGGTCCTTGGGGAGCAAGCCCTTAGCTCCCCCTGACTGTCACTCCGGGAAGGCACTTTGCTGGAGAGGAGGGACTGAGACCTCTCGCTCCTGGAGAGAGCAGGACAGGGAAAAGCGGTGGCCCTGGGCAGGGACCTCTCCAGAGCTGTGTCCAGAGCCTCCTGCCCCAGGCTCAGCCCAGCAACACGTGCACTAAGGAGCACTGTAGCCCCAGCCTGATTTTCTCTCCCCCACACACGTCCAACAGCCCACTGAGCCCCTAGATGGGGTGTGGAGCCTTTGAGAAAAGCAGGGATAAAATTCTGGAAGCAATGTTAATCCCACAACTAAGTGGATGTTATTCCTAAAATTCAACCCAAAGCCACTGCAATTATGGATGGCAGACAAAAATCCCAAACCTTCATAATTCCATGGAGGAAAGCCTGCTCTGTCCAGGGGGATAGTCTTTTCCCTGTGTTTAAAGACGAGCAGCAGCCAGGCACTTCCAGACAGGCATTTGCTCCCCTGACATGGGGCTCACAGCCTCAGTCACTGGTCCTAGCCCCTCCCTGCCTCTCCAGAGGTTCAGATCCCTTTGACTTCACTCTGTGCTCTTTTGGGGATCCTGGGTCCCAAGTGCAAGGATCCAGCCTCAGCTCAGATCCTGATTTTCTCCTGAGGAGGCAGAAAGTTCGCAAGAAACACTGAACATGGGAAAATTGCACTAGTCAAGGAGCAGAAACTCTCACAAAACCACTTCCAGGCTTACCTCCCTCGCGCCATCGGCTCCTTCCAGCCCCCAGGTCCGACCCTGCAACCTGAACCCAGCCAGGCTCGGGAACAGCAGCCTTTGGGTGGGGGGAAAAGCACCAACGCTGCCAAATCGCCCCCTTCCCACAGCACTTCACAGCCGTGGAGCTGGCAGTCGGGGAAGCGGCCAGCAGCCTCCAGCACGGCTCCAGCCTGGGGAAGTGGCCAGCAAGCTTGGCACAGCAAACACGGCAGAGCACCGAGCAGAGTGGGGACGTCCGGACCTGGGCACGTTCAGAGATCAGCATCTCCTCGCCATGTGGCCGTAGAGGTGGTTAGGAGCAGGACCATGAGTTTCAGATTGTTTAATTTAACCTGTCTTCTCATTCAAATAGAAATTAAGTCAAAGTCATAAGCAGAGGCAGAGCCGTCAGCTCCCAAGGCTGGGGGGAGCTGTTGGGACCTCTCTGCCTCCCAGTGCCACCTCTCCCAAGCCTGAAAATCTGCTGCACAGAGCAGGACCATCTACCAAAAACCCCTACATTGTCCTTCAAAGAGGAAAAGCCAAAAGTGAGGCAAACCTGGCACTTGGTCCTCTGCCCTAAGGAGAATCCTCTTTAGCGCCAAAGCAGCTCAGCAAGTGATTTTGGTTCCCAAGACGCAACCCAGCTTTCCATCCCGGTCCCCCCCTCCGGCGGCACGGCACAGGATAGCTGCGTCACCAAGCAGCTCCCGGAGGCGGCATGGACGGTGTAGTGTCGCTGCTGGTGCGGCACCGGCCCCACCGAGCCGGGCAGAGGGTGCCCAGCTCATCGCTGAGGTCACTTTCGGGGTGGGGCTCAATCCACAAGCAAAACCATGAAGCAACACATAGAGAAACCCACGGGGGTGGAGGTCTTCCCTGCAGAGCGGCTGGGGGCCGGGGGGCTCAGACGCGGCCCCGGGGGCTGCCCCCAGCCAGCGGGTGCTCGGCAGGGGGCTGCTGCAGCAGGGCAGAGAGGATGCGCTGCAGCTGGGTGAGACGGGCACGCAGGGAGGTGGTGGAGAAGAGGTTCAGCTGGTAGGACGGGTCAAGGGGCAGGATGGAGATGAGCCACCAGCACCACGTCGGGCCATCTGCCGAAGCCTGGAGGGGAGAGAGGCAGAGACCCCCACGTCAGGAACTGCAAGGTGAATGCGTGGCCTTTGGGCGGCATCATTGATGGGAAACATTTGCTCTTGTCAGGATGGCAATGCCAGCTTTGGCTAAGGTATTCCTCTGAACGTCCCTTTTGTCTGTCCAGGCTCCAAATTGCTGGATAAACTAATTTAATTTCAGACAAGCATTCCCCAGGGAGTCTCCAGACACAGATGTAACCGGGAAAAAGTCTGTACTAAAGAGACAAAGAAATATCTTGTGCGTTTCCTTGTTTAAGGCAATACTTTTTGTAAACATGGGTCAAATCCTGCGTGGTCGTTGTCTTTTGGGGCATTTGCCTTATCATCGCTCAATGAGGTGAGGTGCAGGCCAGGCAGGCACAACCACTGGGCAGTGCTTTTGTAAACAGGCTTTTTTAAAACCTGAGCCAAACTAAGAGGGAAATGCTCGATTCAGCTGAAGGAGGATGAATCATTTTGTAATTTTGAGCACAGCGTTGATGCGACTGCTGGCCAGGACAGCCTTAGACTGGGACAAGCCAGCAGGAGCATATTTGTAACGATCCAGGCAGGAAACAGTTTCTTAAAGGAGTGAAAACTAAGTTTTGTGCTTCCTCCCTCCCCCACCCCCCGAATCTGAGTTTGTCACAGCAAGTTAATAAGCAAACTAGATCCTGCCCTCTTAGCTCCGCTCCTCTGGCCAGCTGTGGCTGTCTCAAAGGAACACGATGAGAAAGGAGACTGCAGACTCGCTGAGCTGTGGGGTTTGTTTCTTTGCCCGTTTGGCTTTTTTTTTTCCCCAAGTGTTTTCAAATCCAGGCAGTTCAGTTTCTTGGTTGTCATTTAGGAAAAGAGTCCAGGAAAGCTTTTAAAACTCAGTGCTCAGTTTCCAAGAACAGTTTAAAACTATAAAGAACCATTAAACAGTTTTAACAAATAAGCCCTACCATACCTCTGAGTGAGAGATGCCGTAACCAGTAATGGGAGTGAAAAACAGGGTCTGTTTTGCTCATCTTGGGGGGGAGCCAAGCAGGGAAGCAGGGTGGTCAGCACAGGAACGGCGCTGCTTCAGAGGCTCTCCTGGTACCCTCTCTACTTAGAGCATCCCTTCCCTTGGGGTTTTACCTGGATGTCCTCTTCCTTCTCCGGCAGCGGTCCATGCTGCATCAATATGTGCCTGGAGGCAAGGTCTCCGTGCTCGCAGAACTGCTGAGCCAAGCGGTAGGTGCTTTCGTGCAGGCACTGCAGCTCCTGCAGCTCCTCCCCGGCCACCTGCGTGGAGGGAAGAGGAATGCAGAAGGTGTCCATGGGGAGGCTCTGTCCCACCACAGCGGGGGCTTTTGCCCTGGCCCTGCCCTCACCTTCTTGTCCTCCAGGTACTCAATGTCAGCAGTGTTGTAGCCATCCCTGTGTCCACGTCTCAGCACCCGGAACCGCCTCCTGCCGATGGTGTCCACCAGGGACCTCCCGTCCGCCAGCAGCTTGATCTGCCGAATCTCCAGCATGCAGCCGTAGTCAGCAAAACTGGAGGGAGCCAGGGAGAGAAAAGAGGAGCTGAGCTGGGATACCAGTGGTGGGAGAGCTGCTTCTCCTGAAGGAGGAAAAGGCACAGGAACAAGCTGGCTGGGAGGGGGGAAATTTGGCGATTAACTCAACTCTGTTAAGTTAGCACTTGCTGCTAAGAGGGCAGGGAATAGCGAGCACACTGTTCACACTCCCTTGGATTTGCCTTATACCAAAATAACTTGGGTCCTCATACTGCCCTGATGTCCAGTGGTCCTGAAGACACCATCCATTGCAGAGACATCCTCCCAAAGCCCAGAAAATGTTATTTATCCCATTTCACTTGAACAGGGGAGCACAGGGAGGTGGGTGTTGGTCTCTTCTCCCAAGTAACAAGCGATAGGACGAGAGGAAATGGCCTCAAGTTGCACCAGGGGAGGTTTAGATTGGACCTGAGGAAAAATTTCTTTACTGAAAGAGCGTACTGAAAGAGTGGTTAAACATTGGAACAGGCTGCCCAGGGAAGTGGTTGTCACCATCCCTGAAAGTATTTAAAACACGTGTAGATGCAGCACTTAGGGACATGGTTTAGTGGGCATGGTGGTGTTGGGTTGACGGTTGGATTCAATGATCTTAGAGGTCTTTTCCAACCTTAATAACGATTCTATGATATGTCATGTAAATACAGGTATTTAACAGAGTACTTGGGTTAGGAGCCTGGAGACTGACCCCACCCGAGATCTGGAGGTGCCACCAGCAACATAAGGACGGCCACACTGCAGCAAACAAAAGCCCATTTAGTCCAGTGTCCTCTCGTAGCTGGTTAAGGACAGAGTATGAGAAATATGGCAATTTTAAAGTGCTCACTAGGAGGAGCTGGAGGACATGGCCAGGGAACCATGGCAGCTCAGAGACACCCTGAGCCAGAAGCTGTTCCCAGACCGTCATATTTAACAGCCACCGCTGGCTCTGCACAGCTCCAGCCCTGGCCCCACTCCTTGCCTGGCCGGTGCGATGCTGGGAGGCAGCGAGATCCCGTTTCACTGTGCTGTGTGGGGAACACACCACCTCCCTGCTGATTTTATCTGCAGGGTGCAGTGGGATAGGAAATTGCACCTTGTTCCTCCTCTCCAAACTACTCAGGATTTTAGACATTTGGGGCTGGGGCAGAGAAGGGCAAATCAGCCGGGGCAGAGGAAAGCCACCTTGCCCAGGAGCTCACCTTTTCACATTCTCGTATATACACATGCCGAACCTCCTCGTGCCAGTCTCCTGGCACCGCCGGATCATGAGGCGGTAACGAGGCTCGAAGACGTGCAAAGGGCAGGCAATGCCTGGGAAGGACATCGTGCATACGAAGATGGGGATGTTCTTGGTCAGGCTGAGGGACGGGAGGAGAGACCACTATGAAACCCAGAGCAAATCCCACCCCAAGGGCTCTGCATCAGCTGCTCCACCCAGCCAGATGTGTCCTTTACCCCAAGAAGTGATGCTCTGGTGCAGAGCAACACCAGAGCTTCCACTTGGCTCACCAAGAGCCCAAGGACAGACTGCCCACAAAACAGCTCCTTGCAGAGATGCTCCCTCATCCCCAGCTGCCCCATGGGGCACGTCCGCACCCACCCAGCACTGCTGTGACGTGGTCCTAGAAGTGGGACAGACATCACTTGAGCAGAACAAAGCCAGAGCAATGGAACATGGTGTGGACACCCCCCTCGGAGCCCCTCCTACCCCCGTGCACACACACACACAGGCACACTGGAGCAGGTCCTTGCTTACTTGGAGAGCTCTGCCATCTCAGCCTGGTGCAGCTCCCGGCGCTCAGCCAGCTGTGCAGGGAAGGTGGCCAGCATGATGTCCTGCAGCAGCACGGTGGGGCTGTAGCTTCCAGCCTTCAGATACTAAAACAAATTAGACCCAGAAATAAGTTGGAGAAGAGCAGGGGGGGAGCCCTGAGGCCATGCCGGGCTCTGAATCACGCTCACTTTCATTGGAGCTGAGGGTAATTTTAGATCAGAGAAAGTCAGGGATAAAACCTATTGGGGGATGTCAAGCCATCTAGCAGGACAGGATGTCAGCTACACCGAGACCTCCAGAAACAGCTCAGACCCAAGGCCCATCCAGCGCAGCGTCCTGTCTCTGACAGTGATGCAGTCCTTGTATGACAACCTAATTTCCCTGATGGTCTTATCCAAATCCCTTTTCATTAAAGATTAAATCAAATCTCCAGGCTAGCAGGTTTTCCATCCATTTCCATTTTTAAAAGTAATTAGCATTCACTTCTTTCTTTCTCTCTCTCTCTCCCCGTCTCAGTCCTGTTTACAATCCCACTAAATCACTGTGGCATCTTGTGGAAATTAATCTCTTGGTCTTAATTATCAGCTGTCTGGTCATTCCCACATGAGTGGAGCTGACACCACCGTGCCAGGGAGCTGCTAACGTAAGAGCATTGCAACTTCCCACCCCAGCCCTGGGCACACTGCCGGCAGCTGGAGCCAGTGCCCGGCTCTCCCTCAGGCTCCGTCCTGCGGAACACATGCCCTCACCTCTCTCAGGCTCTGTTTGCAGAGGGGGCAGTTGGGCTGGTGGTCCAGGCAGCGTTCGAGGCACTCCTTGCAGAAGGTGTGCCCGCACGGTGTCGTCACCGGCTCGAAGAACATCCTGCAAAGGGACCAAAGTCAACGGACCGCAGAAAGCAACATGGAGGAAGGAGTGCAGGCAAGCCCAGCAGAGAGAGATTTCACAGAGCCCCTGTTCACAGGGCTGGGTGCCCTCAAAGCTGTCATTCCCCAGGCCTGGCTCAGCATCCCACTTTGGAAACCCTGGCTGGTCTCAGCCCCACAGTGCAGGAGTCCCACAAAGCGCTCAGGGACTTGCAGAGGCCCAGGCTGGTGCTGCAAGCGTCGAGCAGGTCAGGGTGGCCAAAGCTGTGGGTGCAGCTTCTGGCTATCCCCAGCCTTGTACCTGCATCTGCCTTGAATCACCTTGCTGAAAGCAAGAGATTTTGCTTCCAGCAGGAACAAGAAATTTCCCCTGTCTCCTCCTACCATTTCAAGGGAAATCTGCTGTCTTCACCAGCCTTCTGCACTGAAGACAGCAATGCTGCAGGGATGCAACGCCACGGAAAGCTATCTCATGCCATGTCTTCCAAGCCCTGGCAGCCCACGACTATGAAACTCACCTTCACGAAAGCCGCATTGACTAAGCTTTGCTTATAACTCCTGTTAATTAAATGTAAAGGTTCCTAACTGGCTTAGTCCTTTAATTAGAAGTCTGGGCTCAGACTGTTGGACCTGCACAATGATATAAGATGAGAACTGTCCCAGGCCGGAGCACTGCTCCCCGTCCCTGCAGGGTCCCCACGGACCCCATCAGTACACACATGGCACCGCTTGGTCCTGGCAGGGCTGCAGTTCCCCAGACACCCACAGTGGTGTGTAGTCCAAAAGGCAGCGACGGAAAAGTGCCTCCTTCTCCCCTGCTCCAAGAGCAGAGCTGGCAGCAAGCACTCGGATTGCTCACGGGTAGCTCCAGAATCAGAAATGAAATTAAGGTCTTGGGAAAGCCCTGCTCAGCATTGAGCCCTGATTCCTCCTGAACACTATGTTTCCCTGCTCTCAGAAGAGACCTAAATTCACCTAATTCAGATCAGATACAGCCTTGATATCTCTCTCCCCTGTGTCATTCCCCCATGCCATGCCCAGACCTGGAAAAAGCTGCCATACAGGAGACCTTGACCGTCTTGCACATCCGGCGGTGCAACACCCAACCCTCTGCCAGCAGCAGCTTGCACAACTGCTCAAGGTCCTGGGACATGCCAGAAATAACAACCTGGTTTCAGCATGCCCTGTGGCAGCACCCAGTCCTTCCCCTGCCCTGAGTCAGAAGATGGACAGGGGCTCTACCTCATCCCCTCTTCCATCTCTGGGCACAGAGCTCAGAAATGCTCCCCTCTGGGTTTGCAGTACCCGTGTTGCTGATGGTAATTCCCTGGGGCAACACCTTCCTGTTCCAGCCTGCAGTTACAAAGGGCAACCACCGCTTTCAGTCTTTGATGCCGCTGAACATCCCCACCTCCGCTCCAATGTCCCAAGCGATACAGACCTAACGATGCTGCGCCCTGAGACAGGGCAATCTGAGCTCTTACAGCCTGGCAAGGCAAAGCATGCCCCTGTCCTCCCCTCTTATCTGTTATCTCTACTGAAACCTGCATTTCAGCAGTACTGGAGACTGAGCTTGCTATTAAGATGTGAAGAAAGATCCGCACCAGGAAAGAAAACCCAGCAGGTGTTAATTCTTCATCCTAAAAGCTCTCCTGCCAGAGAACTCACCGTATGCAGAGGGAACACTCCAAGTCAGATATGCTCAGCAGCTCCCCGAGGCATGTCTGGGTACACTTTGCTGCTGCTGTTTCCTCTTCGTTATCTAGTGGCAAAAGAGAAGGAAAGAGAAGACGACCCCCCATTTCAATACTGAAAATTAATCTTTGCTTTCTGACCTTGTTCTGAGGTGTAAGTAGTTAATTGCTACACAAATTGCTTTGAAGGTTAAAACAAAACCGCTTAGAAATGTGACATAACCCCCCCTATTAACCCATCCGTGTTCATCCGTAGCTTTTCCATCAGTGGGTCTCATGGTACTTGGTAGAGGAAGGTGGTATCTCCCTAGCTCCTTTTGCAGGCAGGGAAACTGAGGCACTGGGAGGTGAAGTGGCCTCAGAAGCTCCCAGATGGTCGTCTCTGGAGACCTGCCACAAGGCATCACCACTGCTTTATGCAAACCCACATACGTGGAAGCCATCTGGCTGGATGCTGATGGCAAGTTAATGCCAATGGAGGTACCGCTTCCCCCAGCGCATGACATGCTGTGTCCCTCGCAAAGGAGTTTAAGTTCTGATCTACAACCCATGGGAACCAAAGGAATCATCTCCCTGGCTCCACATCGGGAACAAGTGATGTCTGGCTTTAGCAAGAACTTTTCACCAAGTGACACCCAAAGGTTTGGTGTACGTTCACCAGCTCAACACAGGAAGATCGGATCCTCCTCACATGCGTGAGAAGCAGCAAATGTGCTGGCCAGAGCTGCCCCATCAGGTGCCCCTGGGATCTCTGCTCGCTGAGCCGGCACACAGCGCAAACACTAAGTTTTCAGTGCCAAAATGGATTTTAAACAAGTATTTTGCATGAGATGAGATTTTGGTACCTTTGACGACACTCACCTACCAACTGCCAGCCCTGTCTCTCTGCTGAAGTCTCCAGTTCCTGCCGTCGCCCTGGCTGGGAAAGGGTGGCTGTTCCCTGGCCATGCTCAGACCCAGCATCCCCTCTGCCATCCGCTGGCTCTCCCTTCTGATCCTAGACACAGCAAAGATGAAATTAAGCCCAAAACCTCTTCTCCCTTTGAATACACTGCCCCATCCACCCCACCGAGCCCAATGGCACCGGGAGTTTTTCCAATGTGTTGGTATATATTAACATCTTGCATCTGCAGGACAGCAGGAGAGCATGGCCTTCACAGACATCCCTGCTCATCTCATGGCTAAAACATGGGTTTACTCTGTCCAGATGTACCACCTGGTATTTGGGTGTATCTGAGCCCATTTTCTCTGATTTCCCCCTCTCTCCAAACCCACCAAATTCACCTACAGAAGGCAAAGAGCAAAAGATGAGCTTTCCTTAATAGCTGCTAATGGTCTGAACTGTTCTCAAATGTGTTTTTTGGATTAAAAAAAACATTAAAACTGACATTTTCTTTTTTTTTTCCCCTGAATGTAGTGTGACTTGGGTGTTTTAAACATGAGAGTCTAAAATCTTACCAGAAGTATTGCAGAATAAAACTGGGAGAGGAATGGAGACAGAAGGAGCCTCCTCTGTTTCCCCAGTCTCTGCAGCACCAGCTCTGATGGTGTCTTTGCTCTCCCACACTCCACTACCTGCAGCTTCTCATCCCAGCACGCAACCGTGTGCACGTGGCTATGGTCCTGCACAGCCTCTCCTTACCACACCTCGTTTCCCGTCATTGGAAAACCCCAATTTGGGATGTCCCAGAGGCACATTAAGTCCCATCGCAGACTCAGATCATTGCAGGCTCTCTTACCTGAGCTTTTGCAGAAGACAATGGGAGCGCAGGGCTCCCTCCATCGACCTGAGGACCAGTCAAGCCCTGGTAAGCATCACCCCAGTGTGCAGCAGCCATGCATGGCTGAGGAGCATCCTCCCGTGTGAGGATCTGCAAAGAGAAAGTGGAGCTCAGGGGGTGCTGGGAGAAGAAAGCAGGGAGGTGAGTGGGCTGCCAGGCTCCCTCCTTCCCCAAAGCAGTCTCCTGTTCACCACAGGGCACATCGGGGTTCCTTGTTTCAGCGCTGGCTGAGCTCTCTGTCAAACAAATGCCTTAGCAGTGCGTAAGGGAGAAAGCAGCACGGGGCAGCGAACAAAATGGTGTATTTTAAGGGGTGGGACCCATGTTCTCCATCACCCACAAAGAGCAGGAAGGGAGTAAGCTGTGGAGGGTACAAGGTTGTTCGCCATTCCACTGCCTTTTCCCTCCTGGAGGGCAAGTGTCCATTCATGGCATGAAGTCCCAATGCCAGGGACACTGCCAGAGGCCCCACTGGTGATGGTGATTTTGGTACACAGGTGGGTGCTGGCCTAAAATCATCTGCAGAAAAGACATTGACTCTCCAGTGGCGGCTTTCAGCTGGCTGCTTTGCCTTGGGTGACTACTGATGCTGCCTCGAAGCCCATCTCATGCAATGTCAGTATCTAAACCCTGCAAAACCTGAGACTTTGAAGATATGGACTGAGGAAGGGGAGTTTTCTTCATGGGTGAACCTGCATCGGAGTGATGGGAAGGCTCTTGGACCAGGACCCGACTTCACTTGATCCCAATGCTGGCCAGAGCAGCACAACTGTGATGGACGCGAGTCTTTCAGAGGACAAGGGCATCTCCCTGTGTAATGCAAGGGCACAGGACCCCACCACGGTATGGCCCACGCACCTTCTCCATCTCTCTCTGAGCAGGGTGGAAATGTGGACTGAGCGTCAGGCAGTGCTCCCACGCCAGCAGGGCTTCGTCTCTCTGTCCCATCTCCAGAAGCACCTTCCCTTTCCTGAAGAAGCCCTGCAGAGCAGAAACACCTGCGGTGACTTGGAGACAGTGACCAGCTGAGCACGTGCCCCTTCAGCTCCCATGCAAGCCCCAAGGGAATCTCCCTCCAGCCTCCTGACTGCTCCCATTCCAGGTCAAAGCACCCAGACACGTTACTGCTCCCATGCTCAGACTTGTCCTTTTTGCCCACCAGGTCCCCCCACAGCCAGGTACCCATAAAACAGGACTCTTCCAAAATGCAGCAGTTGCAAAAACCAAGCAAACAAACCCTACAGAGACCTAGAGAAGGAGTCAAGGACTTCTGCCTTTGAAGCTGAAAAACTATTGCCAATGAGTGCTTCACAAATCAGCAAGTGAGCTCCAGGGCTGATTTCTCCAAGGGCAGCTCAGCCTCCAAGCCAACACTTCCCTGAGCCCCCAGCTGCCATCCTGAGCACCAGCACGGCTACGTGCCCTCACCGCCTGCGCGCCAGCAAGGAGGGATGTGGTGTCAAACCTCTCCTGTTAGTGCCACGCAGCCCTTGCAGCCTGGATTTCCAACTTAACGGGTTTGGCGAGTGTATTTCTGAGCAGGACGAATCCAATGGCTAGAAGAATTCAGGAAAGGGGGAAACTGCTCCCATACAGTAAGATTTGGCTCCAAGTGCAGCCGGCCAATGGGGCCTCCCCTCTGCTCACCTCGTGCTCTCCAGGCTCAGCCCTGCACACGGCGTCCAGGTCCTCCAGCGCCCGCAGGTGCTGCCCCAGCGCCATGAACACCTCTGCCCGGCACAGCCGCAGGGAGCTGGCGTCCGGGGCTGGAAAGAGAAATGTCATCACTCCTGTGATGAGTCCGTGCGTGGTGAGGCAGCGGCACTGGATGAGGCCAGGGAGACCCCGCCACAGTGGGATGGCCCCTGCGCCACTGCCTCGCGTTGAGCACAGCCAGCTCCTGCGCTCCTCTTTGGCAGGAGTTGCTGGCCTCATAAGTCTCAGCAAGGAAGTTATCTTCCCTAAATATCTGGTTTAAAATTCTTTGAGGCTCTTCCCTTTGTTTTTCCCCATCTCCCATGAGTGCCCTCAGCCAAGGGGCCTCACCACTGCCTTGGGGCTCAGCCATGCTGGGATCTGGGCTCTCATCCATCCTTTTGGGATGCAGCAAAAAGGTTGTACCATACACATACTCCCTACAGGGGCTGTTGCCACAGGAGGCTCTGCGATGTGATTCACCCAGTGGAGCCACAATAACACGTTACCAAACGAGCCTGCCACTGCAGAGACCTGCAATCCCAAAACACCAGGGAGTGTCCTGGACCCACCTGGCTGCCACTGCTCTCCCAGGCAGAGGGGAAACCAGGGTGGGGGTGCAAGGATCTGCCCCTACCACGTCACTCAGGGTTTCCAAGTATGAGAGAAAAGGCTGAGATTTCCCAAAATGGAGGAAGGGAACTGAGCATCCAGTTTCTCGTCAGTGAGATGTCACTGACGGAATCTCAGTGGTGGGGGGGCACAGCTCCCGCAGGTGCTTCTGGCTGTGACACCCCAAGTGTCACGGTGCTGGATGCCCCACACACTTCTGCCTGCTCCTAAATAACAGGCAGTGAGACCCTCTTCTCTCCTGCCCCAGGGAAACCCCAGAAAGACCTTCCTTTCTACCAGCATTGCCAGCAGGGTAATCGGGTTGGGGGATGTCAGGGAGTATGAACAAGCAGCACCCCGAAAGCCAACACAGTGTGGCTCATGGAGTAACCAGGTGTGGTTTGAACTGTGGAGGATTCCCAGACCCACCCCGTTATATCACAGTTTGCCACGGAGGTGACCTACATCCATCGCACTGCTGGCTTTCCAGCTAAGGCAATGGGTCCGTGCACCCGGCCCCAGTGCTGACCATCACCAGCAGGATGCTGGCTCTGAGGCCAAACCTGCATCATAAATTAGGCACCATTTGCAGGCACCGGTGCTGCATTTACTGTGGTAAGGGGGCGCTGGCAGCATTGCCTTGCTGAAGGGCCAGCAGGTCCTACCAGGGTGAGCCAGGTCCAGGGGGCTGGGCAACAGCTGACCAGCGGTCACCAGGAGACATCATTGCTGATGATGTCTCCTGCACTCCCAACCCCGGCAGCCTTTCCTCCTGCCCCGGTTCAAACACGGCGCTGATGCAGCTCTGCCAGAAAACTGCAGGTCCGGACTAGCAGCCCCATGACAGCAGGGTGTAGGAAGCTGGCATCTGCCTGCACCCCTGCCTGCCTCCGCTGTCACCATGCCCAGGTGCCCACCGATCTGCCCAAGCGCCCACCACATCTTATCGTGGAGGAGGAAGCTCTGCCATGGCTATCGCCTCCTTTTGTCCCCATGCCCAGCGCAGAGCACAGGGAGACCTTGCTCTCTGCCTGGGGCTCAAGGTGCCACTGCAACCTGGAGAGCAGCAGAGAGCCTGGCCTCAGCTGCTCCTGCACCAAGGCTGCACTGGCCGTGCTGAGGTGTGCAGCAGAGCAACACCTGATCCCTCAGAGCTTATTTTCATTTATAATGTTAGCCGGGACCTTAGGGCTCAAGTCAGGAAACGTGGGAACTTGCTGCTCGGTACCCCATTCCACAAGCATGCATCCAGAGCTGAAATATTCCAGCCCCTAATGACAGGTAGAGATGAACAAACAGGTACAAAGTCTAGAGGCTTATTTTCCGTGTACGCAAACCCATTCGAACATTTGCATAGCCCAGCAATAAAGCGACTGATTTGGTGAAAACAAGATGTGTAAAATGGGGCTATGAATTCTGCATTTCTATTCTGCTGCAGCTATTTTTGATCTATGATATCATTAGACATTAGGGACATAAGCCAGCTGGCAGCCCCGGCGGCTGATGAGTGACTGATAGCGCTCCCCAACCTCCTGGATCCAGGCATGTCGGGAGGCCTCCTGTGTTATACATTACAGTGCATTTTTTTTGTTCACTTAGTAAAACAGAAGATAAAAAGTTGACAATTTATTTTCTCCCAAGTGAAGGGAGCTGCTCTGTGGGCTGCGCTGAGTGGGGCACTGCAAACTGGCCCATCGTGCGATGCTGAACCACAAAAAAAACCATTCTCCTGGGTTGAACATTCATCAGTGGTTATGTTTGAAAGTGAAGGGGAGCCCGTAAGAAGTTGTGCATCCCAAAAGCGGTCTGCAGGCTGCAGGAGTTGGAAAAGACATCCTGAAAGCACCACCCACATGGCTGAGCCTGAGCAGCACCAGCAAGCACAGGTTTACAGGAGCTGCAGCTGTGATTGCAATTTCCTTGTTGCCCTAAGCTGGACTTCCCCTCTCCTTCGGGGAACGGAGGGTGCAGGGAAGACCGAGGACAGAGCTTGCAACGTTTCGTCTTTATACTCACAGAGGCTTTTAAAGAAGGGATATGTAACTGTACACCCCAATCAGACAAAGTCTGGCAATGATGCAAACAGTACTAGAGAACTGTGCACATGCATTTGCGTTGCAGGACGGGTGCACAGGGTATGAGACGGGCGCCTTGGGAGGTTGCATAAAGGGACCTGCTTTCTGCTGCCAACAGCAGGATCAGCCAGCCCGCTCAGCCCTTTGGTTCCAGGCATACCCTCAACCTCTGGCACTTGTCTCGCAGTGGGCGATGAATAAGTGTCTGCACCGCGGGAGAAGAGCTGACTGCTGTCATAGAAACGCTGGTGGAGAAAGGACCTTCTGCCTCCACCGTCTCAACCCCCTGCTCCAGACACGTTGTATAACCCCCTTTATTTAAGCATTACTCTCCAAGAAATCCACTTACAGCCACACATTAAAGCAGATCAACCCCCCCTGGGCCCGATCCTGACCTGGCAGACAAATGTCTCGCCAGAGCCAGTTACAGAAGGGGGCTGGGAGAGATGACACACGACACCCTGCCCTGCACCGTAGGGCTGGCGCAGGAGCTCAGCCAAGGCTGTGTCCTCGCCAGGATCTGGGGGAGAGGACGTGTCTGTCCCAGACCGGAAAAGTCCCAACCACTTTACATAATGGTCATCCCCCCGGGCAGAGCTCTTCTTCTGATCCTGAAATATTGCCGGGCGGCGAGATGCAAGAAGCTGTTTGTGGTTCTTTCCTCTCTGGCCGATCACTAACGCCAGAAGCATGTGGCTGATGGGGCGCAGGCTGTGCACCCTGCCCTGCCCGCGGCCCTGGCAGCCGGGATGAGCAGCAGGGCTTGCCCAGCCACCCACCCCCTCCCATCACCCCGGGACACCTGCGGACGTGGGAGAAATGCCCAGCAGCTGGATCCCCCCTCCCAATCCCCACCAGTCCTGCCTTTCCAACACTTCCAGCTTCCCAGGTCTCCCAGCTCTGGACTGTGCAGGCTCCGAGGGCACTGCGGTGCTGGGACAAAGTGACCTACACTGGTACCCA